CTAAATCTTCTTTTATAGTGTGAACATTTATCTTATTTTATTTTCATATTTTTTTTCTAAAAGAAAATTCAACCACAAACCGTATTGGGCAGTGCCTTTGCCGATGTCTATTTTTTCAGGATGAATTTCCTTGGTGTATAATGAATACAGGAGAATAAAATGTGTGCTTGCGCCGAACTAAACGTTAAACATTAAACATTGAACATTTAATCACCATGCGTAGGCGGTTCCACAGGGATGCCAATCGTTGCCGGGCCCCTCTAAGCAACGATCGAGGACCGTAAAAAAATGTTTAAGCGTCCATAATCACGTATGCCCAATTTTCCGAAAAGATTTGTTCCACTGTGCGGCGTGGCGCCAAGAGTGTCAGATTGTGTGAGAAACCCGGTATATCTCACATTGCGTTAAAAGAGGGAAATGAGCTGAAATTTCAGCACAATATGGTAACAATGCGTGGCGCGGATCTATGAGGATAATCGTATCGGCGCGGGCGGAGAATGAGGATGGACCCGGGGCAACATGAAATGGGGGAAAATGGAACACCAGTGGAACTGGGTTAGAAGTGTCCGAGAGAACAGGCGCATGGGAGGAGCTCCATTTGAATTGGTAATTCGTAGTGCATCTTACAATTAGATTTGAGACGGTCCGGTCCGGTCCGATCCAGCCTCTGAAAATCGCGTGGCCATAGCCGTATAGTTTGGTTTCAACTCTAGTTTACGTGGATCTCTGGTGTCCCCCCCCCCCCCCCCCCCCCCCCCCCCCCCCNCTTCCGTTCCTCCAAGCGCCATGACAACTTTTACAAGCCGCGAAAATGAGCTTCAAAATTACTGTTCATTTTCTTAGAGGAATATTCTGTATAAATGTCAAGCAATAATGTTGGCTTGTTTCTTCACGAACGAATAAAATAGGAGCGGGGACTGTGTAAAACCGCGAAAAGGATACGTGGTTTTGCACTGTGACCATTGGTATCATCCGTGTAATTTTACTCCTACCCAAATAAAGTACAAAATCCAGGTGTAGTGGCAGTAGTCAGTGGCTACCTGACAGTTCAGCTACACACACTCCTCCGGAAATCTTCTGGTGATGGCTACGATATTTCCTGAATAATAATATGTACAGCTATGCTATACAGGCTAATAGTCACAATAAGGTCTTTCTTTCCCTTGTAACTCCAACGAAAATACTATTGAGCAACCAAGGGATGATATTTCCGAGTGCATTTCGTGTTTCCAGGTCGTCGAAAATCAACAGAAAGAAAGGGGATCATATTTCCACTCTTGCGTTAAAGTCTCCGAGAGAATCAATAATGGACCACTTGACAAAGTGCGAATTTGAGCATTCTGTTATATGTTTCTTTATCAAAATTCCCTGTTAAAGTTTCGTTGCGTTTTGCGCAACAAAAATTACTGAAATCAATTCTTAACTAGGAGATTTAACGTTATTCGATGAGTTAATTCAAAACCTCCCATCCATGAAAAATGTCCACGGGAGTCAAATCGCGCAATAAACGTTACCGAAAAAGTCACTGCGGTATGATGGCAACCTTTGTATCGACGCGGGCCTCGGCTCAGCTATTGCACGTTGTTTACGCTTCGAAAAACACAAGGTGGCGATGGAACACTGATCAATCAGGAAACCTGCAGCCGAGATCATTGAAGTGCGCGTATAGTGAGTCAAAAAGGCTATTGTTTCTCTTGTTGGCGAGAATTCAAAAATCCCGTAAAACAATTATATTTTAGTTAGAAGTTGATTTCAGTAATTTTCGTTGCACGAATTACGTTTTTTGGGATATTTTAACAGCGGGATCATGTATCAGAATGCATAAATTCGCACCTTGTCTAGGGGTCCATTCTTCGATAAACTTAACTTTCTGGCGTCGTTCCGGTAGCATTTTCTGACCAGGCGCGCTAACAGCTTAATTCTATTGGGATAGCCAGTCACGGGTTGCTTGTTTGCAATGATTAAGCGCTCACACTCATACGATTCTATCGGAACTGGATTCACTCACAGAGATTGAGTTCATGGCCAAGTTATGACCCAGTAACAAATCATGAGAGCACACGAATTACGTTAACTGATGAATGTGTAACACACAGAATAGCACGCAAGTGTGCCATTTTCCACCTGAGCTATATGCTAACCTTTCGATGCAAATCTTATATGCACTAGCCAGTGATTATTAATTAAATAAATGGGCGTAGAGGAGAGAAAAACAATTTTTGGTCCCTCTGTCCCGCAACCGTATGACTTAAATTTGAAAATCGACGCTGTCCGATTGAGTTTAAAAATACGAGAATAAACCGAAAAGACAGACGGAAATCCTAATCCCATACTATATGCTAGTGCATCCAAGAACTTGGGTCGCGTCAAATATCTGGCAAGGATTTTTTGTGCCCGTTCACGAACGTATCTCTCATCTATTATTACATCATAACTTTTCTCAACAATAAGTATTTATCCGGGAAAACTTGGCAACTCTTGAATGTTCATACGGATTTTTTCCTTAGCGCGGCATATACATTCACGATGAATTAAGAAGCGTTTGACGACACTGACAGCCAAAACTGAGACTGCTCAAGCGATCCACTTCCATCTGTTCTAACTATAGATTAATCGGTTCCTCAAAAAAAACTGTGACTATCGTGCACGTAAGTAAGTTTCACGCTTCAGTAAATTCTTCGGAAAAAAGAGGATTGAAATCAGTCCATATATTGGTTGGATGAGATCGATTTTCCGCGTCTGTGTCATGATCTTAAAATAGGTAATTAGTTCTGTTTCTAAAGCGGCGAGTAACATCTTTGTAATTAATATTTTCTCCTCTTCCATTCGTCTTCCCTTCTCGCTCAGCTATCACAAGCTAAAAAAGAAGGATGAATCGTGCATGAAAGATACTCGGAGATGAGGCCCGATTTTCACGGTCTTAGGAAATTTTAAAAAGTAACTCATTCAATGATGCGTATCTATGCATTCGTGCTGTCTTGTAAAATATAGTTATGCATAAGTTACCTTAAAATTCTCCAACCCGTAGTTCAGTGACGCAATTGAAATATCCTGCTCCATTTCAGTGTTTCGAGATTCTGCTGTTATATTTTAGATGGGGTGAGAGCCAAAAGGGCCACATAGCATTCCAACGTTGCAAAGTTTCACTTGACAATTTATTTTTTTTTACTTACTCAAGAGCAGGTGAAAATTGTCTTCTACAAATCTATTTTTCTTTGTGCTTGGAAAAATTGCCTTACATTTTGAAAACGAAATATAAAAGCGTCTCTACACGAAAAACATATTTATCAGGTGGAGCCGTAAGACGTTGCAATGAAATTAAGCTCTTTTCATTTTATCGTTTAAAAAGGAAAAACAACTAATATTTTTCTGCAAGAAATTTTTGAAAAAATGCTTGAATCGCCAAAGAAAAAATCATAGAAAATGTTAGTAATTAAAATTAGTTATAGGTAAAGTGACTAACTTGTACATGTATGAGGGGGAAAAACATCAACACTGCAAAATTAGAAGGTTTCCTAACTTCACCATCACCATTGATTCTCACAATTCCTCTTATTGGTACAAGGTACAGGACCCTTTCGCTCCTAATTTTACCTCTTCTACTTCGAATTTTTTTATTAAATCTAGATTCTTGATTTTCATTCTCAGGCACCTGTAACCCCCCTTGCCTTTGCGAAGAAAATCTCGAGGTTTTCAGGGCCGGATTTACCTACTTGCCGCCCATGGGCCGCCTGTATTTTGCCGCCCCCTTCTCATTCGTTTTGAAACATCAATAAAACCATCAAGTGAACGTGCTGGAGGTAGCGGGGTGCATAAAACGCGTCTACTCGTGTTGAACACATTTTTTCGGACAGCCCTGTCAACACTACTAGGAAATGTTCATGGAACTTTGCGCGAAAGTTAAGTTCCGTAAACCTATCTCTCATGGACAAGGCCTTCCATTCATAAGACATGAACGAAAAAATTATGAAAGAACAAACACAAAATTTGGTTTAATAATTTTAACTTCCGACGCCGCTCCGCGCTGACCGCACTGTATTTGGCGCAATGCGGGAAGTATTCCTTTAGTCTTGTAGGCGCTATGCGTTTCACGCCGACCGCTGCTGACCGCACTGTGTCTGACGCAATGCGTGAAGTATTCACGCAATCTTGTAGGCGCTAATATGTGTTACATGCCGACCGCCGCGCCGAGGGCTTTTCCTTTTCATCTCAAGTCCTCGTCATCATTCCTCTCTCCGCTGAGCTATAGACCAAATTGCGTGTTTAGTCCCTCTCTTAACTCGACTAATTAAAGATGCTGACTCTTGTATTACCGAAGTACAACAAAATTAGAAATTATTATACTCTCAGGAAAGAGAGATTTTGTGCCCTTTTCTCATTGATGTTTTTTTTCTGAATCCCATTTCTTTTATACCTACATTTAAAAAAATTGCAAAATTTGCCGCCTCCTAAATTTACCGCCATATGGGCCGCGGCCCATGTGGCCACCCCCTTAATCCGGCCCTGGAGGTTTTGGCTTTTAAAAAACAGGTGGATTGGCCATTGAAATCTAAATTGAGGGGCTTGGAGGACAAGCCGCGTAAGTGCAATTTTTGCTATTCCGAGAAATACGTGTTTGAAGTTTCGAAATTACACGGATCCTTAAGGCGAAAAGAAATTTCTATCTGACTTTTTGATGCTTAAAAATTGAAATTTGGGGTCTAATTGATCACAGGATTTGCATTAAGACTAGTTTTAATTGGTTTTTGACGAGTTTTAATAGTGTTATTGATATCTAAATTATTTCAAAAACGGCACTTATGCGCATTTTTCAATTTATACCTCCCTGCGGAAGCAGGTAGGAGAGGCGAAAATTACTCTGCAAAATACTCCTACCTTACATTTTTCAGCTCAAAAGTAGGTAAGCTATTTGTAAAGCTAGAAAGTTACAAATCACCTAAGAAAAATTGAACCACATTTTGCAATTAGGAACTATTATTTCTGTAAAAAAATTTACGTACCTGCACCGAGGCACAAATCACATTGTTTGAGGCTGTTAGGATTACAATTAAAATCCAATACTCCAGGGGAAACAACATAGTAAAACATGCGCTTGTGGTTCGTTCCAGCTACCGCGAGTACGATAACATAACGACTGTCACTGTGATCAAATTAGTTGAGATACTCTAGCTGCAGTTTTAGCTACATCATCCGACCCTTAACCGCACAAAGTAAACCAAAAGTATAGGTTGGAGAATTTTGTACACGAGCTCGAAATTTTCTTTTTGATCGCCGGTGAATATCCCTAAAGAGTCGAGGACACTCTTTTCCTTCTCCAACATTGATGGAGCGTCATGCTCGTGTCATCAGCTATTTTGTATAAAAATGTAACTACCCACAATTTGTTCTTCGCCGTTCAACTTTTTCGTGCATTTCTTTGTGCGACTATTGAGTTCAACACTTAGGCGCGTCCCTCGCATATCTGGCATTCGTGTTTCAACTGCTGTCACTTTTTTCGAACAACCCTACTTGATTTGCCGTTCTGACCTTTCATTACTACGACACTAGACGAGATAAGAAGGAAATTAACGATGATAAATTACAATTTCGAATTGATTTTGGACAACGAGACACGCAAAATTCCTTTTTTGGCACTTAGAACATTGTTTCATTTTTTTGAGCACTACCGCACATCGGTGCATAATAGAAAGGAAACTGGATTCAGCAATTCAGCATGTGGTGCGTAAGTAGCTGGCAAACTTATTGCTCGAGAATTTTGCAGAAGCTGGCTTTTAATAACACGAGGTCTCTTCCAGCCAGACCGAGTAAGGAGGAAAAGTGTGAGTCAATTTCAGAATGCATTCACTGAAAATTTTCGAGCCGAAAGTTTTGGAACCGAAAACTTTTAAGTCGAAAAATGCGCGCGCTCCTGCTCCGGTCAGGACAAGAGATGCGGAGAGTGTAACCGATAGCGGCGCTGATTTCGTTCACTTGTGACGTCACGCACCGGCAACGGCTTCCCGCGCTGCTAACACAACACTGGATGTTGGAACTATCTTCAGATGAGAGCAATTCACGCAAACTCAGGGCCCCCACCTCCTCTACCCACCGTTCCAAGAACTTCCCCCGCCTCCTAGTAGAACGGAAAATAGAATATCACATAACTAATCGAATCTGTTCCCCTTTGGACGAATTATTCCCATCTCCCATCCTCCACGATTGAATTTATTGTGTGTAATGAGAGCTGACGTTGCAGAGTAATTTTAGAGCCTCAAACTCAGCGGAAAATTAGCTGGTAAAATTTAAATTTTCTTTTCATGAGCCGTCGATTGCTTGTTTCACGATGGAAGGGCTATCGGTGCGCAAAACACAAAACATGATATCTACACAATGGATTTATCTGGAAGAAATGAAAAAAAGAGAAAAAAACGATCGAGCCTAATTCAAAAGTTGCCTTCATTGGCAGATCCAATTACAAACGATTTACCGTAAATTGAAGTTTAATAGTTAAGGATATTACCGCTAAATTGCAAAAAATTCATCCAGCTATAATTTAATCAGCAGTTGCATAGGGAACGATAAGCTTACAGCATTGTCTAATAAAAATTTATGGAGTGCGATAAACCATAAACGTTCAGTTTTCCAATAAATAATTGACGTTTGGTTCTCGAATAGATAACTATTCGTGCACATAAATAGGTTCGTTGCCTACTCGGCGTGTTGAGCCTTTAGGTCAACAATAACAAGACAACAATACAATATTCACCTTTATCAAATTTCACCTTATTTTTTATACTGCCGAAGCGCACTGTTTTTCTTGATGCTCTGAACTATTAAACTATGACAGAGTTTTTCAGCATCAGCTGGACTCATTTGCAATGTTGCCCAGGAGAACATTAAAAGTTGCGGATACGCGGAAACACGGATACTTAGAGAGACTTTAACGCAGAGGAGAAAAGTAAACCACGGAGCCTAACCATAAGAATCCTTGTGGTTTCCCTACTAATTTTGCTACTAAATCCAAACCAGCCATGAAGTATCAAGGGGGCAAAATATGGAAGAACACGGCTTGCCATGATAAGCATGAAAGAACAAAAGATTCATTCGAAATAAATGAGTAAAAACGATACTAGGTTGTTTACGAGTTTCCAGCGGCTGACAAATCAGTAGGTACAGTTTCACAAGAGGTGCGGGCATGGTGTCAACCGCTTGTAAATGAACAGAAGAAAATTAGTTAGATTTTATGTAATTTTTTATTCTTATTTTAAATGACAGTAATCCATACAGAGTGTGCAAAAACATAATAGTGGTAACAATTAGGGTAGGTAACCTAGAATCAAAGCGGGAACTCCCATTCCCGTCTTACGCGGAGAGGCGATCGACCAATCAAAAAATAGACTACCTATCCATTTTCTGATTGATCATGCAATTTGAAGCTGAAGCACACGAACTCACGTCCATCAGCGAGGCATAGGAGGAATTTTAGCGGATTTTAGAGGTGAAAATCTCGAAAACCTACCAATATAGTATTGCCAAAACTTTGACAAGGGGCCGTCCAAAAATTACGCAAGGCACTTTTTTACGATTTTTAGACCCCCCTCGCTCCCGTAAGGCCCTCGTAAGGCTAGCCTGGACCCCCCTAAATAATTACGTAAGGCTGGCCAGAGCCCCCGCTTCTATCGTTTAAATGCATAATTTAATGAAAAAATTGTGTTAAAACAAATCGGTATTGTTTCAAGCATTACTAATCGCTGGTAGGAGATCATGAAGAATAACAGTTGTGTTAAAAAAATAACCAGTTTTAAAATTCAAAAAGTTTAGAAAAAATTACATTTTAAGAAAAAAAACATTGAATAAAACTTACAGAACTGACTAAATTTAAGGAAAAGCAGACTAACAGCAACGGCATCGCCCATTTAAACACAAGTAATTTTGAATGATCTGGACAAGCGAATCGTCCATTTTTGGCGATACGAGTACCCGCTTTGATTCTATGGGTTACCGTAGTGGTAACAAGTTGAAAAACGCTGACTCCGCAAGTTAAACCATCTGCGCCAAACAGTTCGGGCGATACGGAACACATATTAGCGCCTACAAGACTGCAGGAATACTGCACGCACTGCGCGCTCAGGCGTTCACCATCCGAGGTGCATCATTGCATCAATCGTTGAAAATTCGTAATATCTCGCGGTGCCAGACTTACCACGGTGTGAGTAAGTACGCCATTTTCTCACCAATGCACACCCCGAGCCTGCAATCATGTGCTCTGGATGGAAAAAATGATTAGGTACTTATTATCATTGTAAAATTGAAAAAATAATCGAGCTTCAAGCCATAAATAAATTAAACTAATAATATTTCAAACTCCATGGAGATGAGAAATAATAAAAAACTTACAAGAAAAAAAAAAACAAAACAAACGTTTCGACCGCCAACAACTGCGGTCCTCTTCAGTGCATAGGGCCCGTTTCCGGCCAAAAACGGACATATGGCTGGAACTGGGCCCAATCGGTTCTACATATGAAAATATGTTTTTAGCCATAAGTCCCCATAAATCCCCTTGGGGGATTACGCACAGTGGTCCGATGACGTTGAAAATTGGACATATTTTCAAAAATTTACCGTGGCGCGAGAAATAAACTTGGGGAGCTAATTTTTTTTGTGAAAATGTAGGTAATTGTGTCTACTTTTTGAATAAGCTATAGTTAAGAATGTCTGAGTAAGTTAATTGTGATTGATGTTGAAAAAAATTGAGAATTGAGAATATTCGATCGACATTTTCTATATATTTACGTCCATGTAAAAGCCCAGATCGAAAAATACTCTTCAGTGTAAGTTGTAGATCGGTCTTTTTGCATTGATTTATGGTATATTACATCACATGGTTATCCTCAAAATCGAAGGAACAAGAGGGCAAAAACGGAGCGGATCGGGGCGCGGCCTCGGTGTTCCGAATCGCAAAATGGCGATTTTGAGTGGCGGATCATGGCAATGATGGCCTTTTCAGCTGCACCCGTCTACTGAAAACCCAAATGAATAATTTTTATCATAAAAGCTCTTTTCTAAAGCACCATGGTTGCCAGTTTTTACTCCATTTTTTTACAATATACTAATTTGTTCTGGCGCCGCGGCCATTCAAGTTAGGTATACGTCAAGGTTGGAAGACTTCTTCAACCTCCAACCTTTGTAAATAATCAGTGCAACAACGAATCAACCCCCTTTGGAATCAAGTGACTTCCCTGATCTTCCTCCCCCCCCCCCTCCCCACATTTGGAAAATAACAGGATGTTCGAAAAGTGACTGATTTTTTTTCTATTAAAAATTACTATTTTTTCTTGGAGTGGGAGACTCACGTAGGACCTGACTTGACTCCCCTCCCACGTCGTTAAACCCTTAAAACTTTACTCACACTTAACTTACCCAGGCATTCTAAACTGTAGCTTATTCGAAAAGTAGACTCAATTACCTACATTTTCACCAAAAAAAAAAAAAAAAAAATGAGCTCTCCAAGTTTATTCCTCGCCCCGCAGTGAATTTTTGAAAATATGTCCAATTTTCAACTTCATCTGACCACTGTGCGGAATCATTCAAGGGGATTTAAGGGGACTTTTGGCTAAAAACATCTTTTCATGGGTAGAATCAAGTTGGCCTTGTTTCAGCCGTATGTTCGTTTTTGACCATCAAAATGCTTCGTTTACTGGACTACTTCTGGGCCCCCCACTCAGCATAGAACCTTAATACAATCATCATCATCATCATCATCACCATATATAATTCCGTAAGCCTTTTCTTTACGTCAAAATTCAGCGCGAACCGCCGGGCCGATCCGTGCGCGGGTGGTACCGGCTCGACCGTCCCGGTCCCTCGACGGCGGGAAAAATATAGGGATCGGCTGGCGTGCCTGGCCCCCCTCGCTTCGCCCCCTCGGGAAAAACGGTTATCCCGTTCGTCCCGCTGGGTTTTTCGCGGTTATTCGTTTTCCCCGTGCTGTTCGTTCTCGGTCAGCTGATGACTCGGCTGCCCGAGGCGTTCAGCCAATCCGGGCGCGGGTGGTACCGGTTTGACCGTCCCAGTCCTCCGTTGGCGGGAAAAATAGAGGGATCGCGCGGCGGCCCCCGCGTTTTTTGCGCCCTTTGAAAAATTGGTTATCCAGTTCGTCCCGTCCGGAGATGCGCAGTTTATCGTTATTTTCGGGCGCTTTTTTCCGGTCAGCTGATGGTTCGGCTGTCCGAGGTGGTTGTTGTCATGGAAATCGCCGTAGCCGTAGGTGATGGATTTTCGGCGGAAGCGTCCCTCAAAATTTTACGTAAATAAACCATAATTCGCACAATGGGAAGTTCAGAGATCAACTTTGAACGAGATATAAACAATGCGATGATCAAAGTGCCAAGCCACGGATCTCCTTTTGCGACGTTGTAGAAGCAGATCCGTGTCACACACTCAACGCAATTTATTTAAAATTGTCATACGTTTTCTTCACCTTTGGCAGAATATTCTGTACATATTTCAAGCAATAAAATCAGCTTCTTCTTCATTTAAAAATTAAAAGAAAAAAAAAATGAGTGAACAAAAAGCTGGAAAATTTCCGCAATCCTTCGATCCCAAGATTGCAGGCTCGCGGTTTAAACACCAAAAGGCAACGAGAATATCCTAACCGCGACGTTAACCGACGCCGTATCAGCAAAAATTAACTCCTAACCGTGGTAATAACGTCTTTTATGATAGATTCAACCTTTCCGCTCATGGAAGAAAGAATAATTACTAGCGTTAAACTGCATGCGCCATAAACGTCACCAGGACAGTCTCAGTAATGTGAAAACGTGGCAACATCAATCTTGACTAGCGTCAAGATTGATGTTGTAAGCTCAAGCTGTACACACTTTGAATTCAGTTCCCGTAACCAATGGACAATAAAAACGTTAATAGCCTAGCTAGAAGTTGATTTCAGTAGTTTTCGTTGCGCGAATCGTGTTTTGCATGAAATTCTGTTGAAGAATCATGTATCAGAGTGCTAAAATTCTTAATTTGTTTAATGGTCCATC